CTTCTTTTTGGTTTAGCAAAAGTGCCCTGAAACTTGTTAAAACCCGTAATTCGTACCCAATTTGGGCACAAATTTCAAATTTTAACAAGTTACTGTCCTGTTTTGTCACACGAAAAACCAGTCAAATCCGGTAACTTGTAGGTAAATGGGCACGAATTCCGTGTTTTAACAAGTTTTGGGGCACTTTTGTCAAACCAAAAAGAAGTTGTCCACATTTGCCACACACGTATAGTTACAGGGCACAAAATGCAATTTTGCCACAAAACAAATATTCTCCCTTACAACTGATATTTGTTCGTCAAACTCTGAAAAGGAAGATACAATTATTTAATCACATTTCAATTTCATCATATTATATATCCTGCAAAACCTGCAAAATATGCAGAATGGCAAAAGGGTGAAACACTGAGCAGCAAGGTATGGGGTTGAATTGATGAACTCCAAATTTTTCCTATTCCCAATTTATTAAGTTCAATGGTGCATTGTGTTTTGTGCCCCAAAATAATTCAGTTTTGTCACAATTGTTTTGAAATCATAATTATTCATTTTCAGTAAAATATACATCAAATTACATTGAAATGATGTGATTTTTAAATTAATCAAAATAAGACCAACATGCAATTAGGACACAACAAGGATCAAAACCTTACACAATGTAAAAATCGGGGCAAAACGGTTGCGGTACCACGCCCGTGAAGCGCATCATAGTAGGGTGCATGGGATCGCACCCATTTTTTTCTTGCTTCTTACATGGTATCAGAGTCGGTTTTACGTGGGACCATGCGATGACGTACCCGTCACCCAGCCCAGGTGGGCTTGTGTCTTGTATGAAGGACTCACAAGTGAGAGAACGCGTTAGAAATTTAGAATATCATTTGTGAGTTATCTCACGTCGTTTATACATGGAGAATAGGTCTAACTTGTAAGTCTAGTTGACCCCTCTTTCTTGCACCAATTGATTTTGGAATAAAATCTCATTTGAGCTTTATTTAGGTTTTCCCTGTTATAATGCGTTTCACGTTCGTATAGGATTTTTAATTATATATTTATATATCTTTAAATTAATAAAATGGTGCATTCTAAAAAAACAACATGAAAAGAATATATAAATTATATAAATATACTTTTTACTAAAAAAAAATATGGTGTGTGATTTGCCTAATGAAATACTAGCTAAACAAAAATATAGGATATGTGTGGTAAATCAATTTTAAAATTGATATACGAATTGATTGTTTGTAATTGACTTTAAAATTTATAGTTGATAGTTTATAAGTGATAACTGAAAAACTAATTGATATAAAAATAATTAGTTAAATGAATTGATAAGTCGATTGAATCAACATAGTTTTTTAAAGAAAAATTTATGAGATAAACTCGAAATTTATAGTTGACAGTTTATAAGTCATAACTAAAAAATTAATTGATACAAAAATCATTAGTTAAATAAATTGATAAGTCGAGTGAATCAACATAGTTTTTTAAGAGAAAAATTTATGAGATAAACTCCAAATTTTTTGAAAAATGTGAACAGTCACAATTGCCACGTGTAACTTTCTCCCTCCCGAAGCTTGTGTGTCATTTACAAGCACAGCTATGCCCTCAGTCTCCGTTTGTGCAGACACCTGTTTTCTTTTGTTCCTATCTCAAAATTTTCCCTGTTTCGACACAAACGAAGAAGCCCTGATCATGAATATTTCACAAAAAATTCACTCGAAGCTCCTGTTTTCCTTGTTCGTATCTCATTTTGTTTGCCTGTTTTGACAGAAACGAAGAAGCCCATATCAAAAGATTGTCACAAATTTCACTTGCAGCTCGAAAATTTATCCAGTTTTGACCACAAGGGGGGAAAAAGGGACAAAAATACTACCATTTTGTTGTTAGCTTGAATAGTTTTTGTAACAGAGACACTCATTTCTTGGTTGTTTTTTAGTGTTTGGGAATTGGAAATGAGCGAGCATGACGGGGAAGAAGATGTTTTTGAGGTAGCAATTGCGGTGTGTAAACGGGGTGAGAACAAAGTGGGTGCGAGTGACGATAATGGCGATTTTTTCCAAGTTCTTGTTGATGAGCTGAAGAAAAAAGGGCTTATTGTTGAAAGGGTTGTTGGTCTTCAGAATGAGTTCATTAAGGTGTCTGTATTCAACCCTTTTTTCTTTCATGTCGTTCTCTTTTGTGGGGTCTCTTTTTAATACAATGTTTCTCTCATATCCTAAAGTTTGCATCTTTGCCTAGTTAATGTTCATAATCGTTCTCATTTTCTTGATTCTTGCACCTCTGCAAGTCATAAAAGGTTCACATATAAATGAGGTTGAAAGGTTACTACTACTGCATTGTTGATCTGGAGGCATTGGTGTTTCTTAGTTCTGTTCTTGTTTGTTGACATGTGTGCAATGGTAGTGCTAGTGGGGTTTGATTTATTATGAAAAAAAAGCGTCGATTGATTCTTGTTTGCAGTTGGCAGCAACTCAGGAGATCCTTGGAAAGGCTGCTGCTGAGTTAAAATTCAGAAAACGGACTTTTATCGGTATTTTTCTACAGTTTGTTGTTTAATGTTGTCATACATTTTTCATGTGAGCTAGGTACATATTATTCGTGAGAAGTTTTGGAGGCATGCTTCGTATGATATTTGTTTTCAGGCATGGATTTTCCATTTGATTGGGATGATGTTGAAGCTTTCATGAGGCTTCCAGATGGTTCTTTGTTCAGTTGGTGCGAACGGTTTCATTGCTACAATCACTTAATATACGGGATTGTGAGTATTGGTTTAATATTCTTTCTCAAGCTGTGTATGCAGCTATATGTGATTTTATGTTTTATTTGAGCTCTTGATACTTTTGTTTCTTATGACTGCATAAAGGGGTGTAATGTTAAAAGAAAATTTCTTTTCTTCTTTTTTATTTTTTAAAAAAAATAAAAATATTTTTGGTCGAAGTGGGTACAGAAAGATCGATTTTCATTGTTCTGAGGTGTGTTGATTAGATGAAAATTGTGCAGGTCAACACAGAGAAGTCAGCTATAGTGCTGAAATATGATGGTAAAGAAATAGAATGGATGCAGGGTGAATCATTACTAAAAAAATTGGAATCAATAGCCATTGCCAAAGAAGTATTTCCATTGCATGGTACTAATTCGTAAATCATACGTGCAATATTTTATCAAATTAAAATTATTCATACCTATCATGCTTATAATTCTTAGATGAGAATAAGCGCAAGCAGCTTCTAAGAAGTTGGGCGTTTAACTGGTTAGACTTCACATCCCAGCCGATTGATGACATATGCTCGTATTACGGACTGAAGGTAAAATGTTATTAGTTTTCGTTTCCTCTTTTTATTTTCCATTCTAAACGACATACTCAAATCTGATTTATACTTGGATATGTCGTGTGTCATATAGATTGCCACGTATTTTGCTTTCCTTGGAATGTATACAAAGTGGATGTTATTTCCAGCTACATTGGGACTCACGGTTCAGTGGGTGGATTTTGGGTGGGAGCTCTTGAATTACTTCTTTTATACTCTGTTAAGTTTGTGTTTTACAAGAAGCTCACTTTTTTTTTCTATTTTTTTTCTTTATTTATTTAGATCCTTGCAGTTTGTGGTTCTCCCTTTCTTCTTCATATGCCTGATATCATGGGCCGTCATGTTTTTCCAATTTTGGAAACGTAAAAGTTCCGCTATTTCAGCTAGGTAATGTTTTGGTCAATTCAATGTGAATGTTTGCTCTTATTTACAAAATCTACCCATGAGATTAAGCCTAATTAAGTAAAAACCCAGTTATATTTCCAAATCACAGATACCCCTTGATGTTTGTTCTTTTTTAACTAATTACATCCTCGAGAAGGTAACTTGTTATTACCCTTGAGGTAAAAGTCAACCATCAAGACGGTGTTTGTATATTTGGAATTTTTCTTTATTTTTTTGTATTTGACTCAATTCTTAGAGTATGCTCTTTCTTTCTTCTGCAGGTTGCAATTATATGTGTCAGGTGGTGCAGAATCCGAATATAAAGCTCCTCAAACAGAACCGAGCTCTTGTCAATCTCCTACCGAGCTCTTGAAAAAACAAAGCACGGATAGAATGAAAGAGAAAGCAACTTTCCAGAGAGAGGAATGGTTTAGGTGGCTAATGAGAGTGAGAAATGATGCCTTGATCATAATGAGCATCGTATGCCTTCAGTTGCCGTTTGAGTTGGCTTATGCTCATCTTTATGAGGTTATAGGATCCGACATTCTCAAGTAAGAACTTTTTCATTTTTTTTATTTTTATTTTTTAATTCTCTCCTTCAATTAAATTTTCTATCAAGATGCAGAAATTTCTCTCTTTTTGTTTAGGTTTTGTCTCACGGCCGTGTACCTCATCGCCATTCAGTACTTCACAAGAATGGGGGGCAAGATTGCAGTGAAGCTTATTAAATACGAAAACAATGAAAATGTGGAGTACAGAGCAAACAGCTTGGTGTACAAGGTAGAGAAAAAAGATAACCGCCATTATTGTTCGAATTTTTCAGGACACAATTAAAACATGGCAAAAAAGAATCTGCTTTGACGTGAATATTCCACGATACATCATCACCTTCTCTAAATATTTCAAGCAGCCCCGTTTTTTACTCGATGATTTATATTTTTTGAATTCAAGGGATATAATAGTAAAATGCAAACAGAAGGTTGGGGCTGTTTGTATAATCAAAAAGTTGTTGGATGTAAATTGTAGCTGTAAAAATACTAAAACGCGAGCTTGGGTGCATAATGTAAAGCATAAGGTTTTTATAATTTTTAAGTTTAGCTGGATTTTTCGCAACTATTCGAAACCAAAAGGGTTGTGTTGTAATTAAATTAGCTCTGTATTACTAACTTGATCTTGCTTTCTCAGGTCTTTGGCCTTTATTTCATGCAAACATATATAGGAATATTTTATCATGCTTTACTGCACCGCAACATCGCGACCCTCCGTCAAGTCCTAGTCCAACGTCTGCTTATATCTGAGGTACCAATACTCATTTTCGCATTTTTTTAGTTTTTATTTGAATTTACATTTTCTGTAATGTGTTACATGTTCTTGAAACTGTTTTTATAGGTGATTGAGAATATATTGGAAAATTCAATACCATACTTGTCTTACAGTTTCAGAAAATTCAAAGCCAGGTATAGTATTTCTTATGCCAATTTGGACTAGCATATGTATCCGCTTTTTGGGTTTGCGTTCTATCCAAAGTAAATGATCTATCTCACCTTGAAGGAATAAGCTAAAACGTGAAGGAGGGTCATCAATAACCAAACCGAGTCCCATTTCAAGAGTGGAGAAGGAATTTCTTAAACCTGCTTATTCAGCAAGTGTCGGCCAAGAAATCGAAGATGGGCTTTTTGATGGTAATAATGCATAGCCTTTTTCTATTTGAGCTGTTGTTAATGTTAAGGATCTTTAGTAAAACCTTTTCTACCCGGGTGTAATTATTATTGAATGATATTATGTTTCTTGAGAAAAAAACAAACATACAAACAAACATGCTACTGTGATTTTTTTTAATTTAATTTTTTTAATATTGTTGCATGGGTTTAAATCTCTACTTTTACGTGCTGGCAGATTTTTTGGAGCTCGTTTTGCAGTTTGGCATGATCATGATGTTTGCTTGTGCATTCCCACTTGCATTCGCCTTTGCAGCAGTGGTAGTGATTATTCATTTTACTTTTTTCTTTTTTCTATATTTCGAAATGATTATAATGATTCTCATTTTTGTTAATCTACTTTGATTCGGTCGTATTTTCCCTTCTAAACAATAATCAGAACAACATAGCCGAGATTAGAGCTGATGCTTTGAAATTGCTTGTGATGATGAGAAGGCCTGTGCCCCGCGCTGATGCCACAATCGGAGCCTGGCTGAATATTTTTCAGGTCCTCAAATCAAAATTACGAATTATACTAAATGAAGTTAAGTTAAATTACAAAAAATATGTGCCATAAAATCTAAAAAAACAAATTATATACGAAATTTTTTTAAAGATATTTTTTGCTTATGACTTTTTTTTTCCTCTTTATTCTTTTTTTCCTCCAGTTTTTGATAGTATTGTCGATATGTACCAATAGTGCACTCCTAGTTTGCATGTATGATCGGGAAGGAAAGTGGAGTTTATCTCCTGGACTTGCAGCCATTCTTATAATGGAACACGTCCTCTTGTTCATCAAGTTCGGATTTTCGCGCATTGTTCCTGAGGTACAGTTGTAATGAACCATTTTCACATGATCTTAATTGATTTCAAATAAATACATCTCTATATTTAAAGACTCAATTGGTATTATGCTGTTTAAAGTTCTTAACTTTTTCGTGTTCAATAGGAGCCCGCATGGGTAAGAGCTGCTCGAAGGAAAAACGCTACTCAAGCAGAACAGATGTGTTCTAAACAACTCCTGAGGAGCATCTCGGGAGATGAAAATTGGTTCCGAGAGATAAAAAAGAACGAATAGAGAAAACATTCACAATCGAAAAATTATCCTACACGAAGCTCGATTGTTCGGGACTGAAAAAAACAAATCTCTCTTTTGCTTGCCAGCTGATGTAAAATGGAGAGCAACAAATAGAGGTTAAGGTTTACTAAATGACTCCTTTACTTTTCCAGTTGAAGTTAAAGAGGTGATGTTGTGTGTGCTGTAATGTATTAGTTATACTTGCTGGTTACTTGTTTTCTTTAATGGTGTTTTTAATCTTTCTGGTGAGAATAGTTTACCTTGCAAGAATCTTCTTCTTCTTCTATTTTTTTTTTTTT